GCTGGGTACTCGAGTGAAATGTTATTTACATGTTATCCAAACTTATTCTATTTCCGAACCAAAGTAAATACAGTAGTGCTACACTTCTTGACTAATCCCAACTTAATGTGTAGGATTATGTATACGCTATCCATTCCATAATTCCTGCTCGATGCGGCAGAAGAAATACTCGTAGATTATCTTAGTTCCACTGTCTATTCCACAAACCCACTGTATCATACATGTATACCAGGGGTTGAGCTTGCTACTTGAGAGTGAAATAGATTGAAACGAACCTTCACGGTATGTTCAGACAAGTTCTCTCTACAGGGCACCATGGAAGACAAGCCACGGATCAGATGGGCTACAGTTTTCTTCCCTATGACCTGCAAAGCATGAGTAGATAAGATGCTGTAAACTAAGAGTATACTGTGTCGATCAAGCATATGCTAAGATATTTACGAGTCTGGCAACTTCCACATCCTATATGTCATTGTTATAGTAAGACTTACAAAACACACTAAGGCTATGTACAAAACCCCGGATCTATTCTATGTCTGTCTCTTGCCGTTCTTGTTTCCATGCTTGGTTATGTTATGAACAGCCAGCCGTGTTATAATATCAAGTCACCCTTGTTTTGGCACTTCAAGAGGAGACCGAAGATAGTATCGTGGTATCACAATTCAGTTCAATTCGAGAAATTCTTCACAATATGCCAAACGCTATCGGTATGGCATAACGCATAAGTAGAAAAAGCCCTACAGCTGATATTCTTAGGTATCGACCTTGGCATCTCGTATGTTTCCATTGCTGTTGCTCAGGATGGGAAAGTTCATGTTATTCCGGACACACAGGGTCGCCAGAGAATCCCATCATCGTACCTACTTCGCACCTCCGTTGCTCCCAGTGTCGGCCCCGCAATTCGGGATCGGGTATGCAGCCCTCTTCGTTATTGCAAGGAAGATCTCAGGGTCATCCTTGCCGCGGCCAAAGCCTTAGCCGAGTCCTATGTTAGTACGATTGTTGAGGATGCTGTTATCACCGTACCGTCATCTTGTCATGATGCGGAACGTGCTGAAACCAGAGATGCTGGGCATCAAGTTGGACTCAAGGTCCATCGGTTACTGAACACTCCAACAGCCGCTGCCATAGCGCAGTGGACTGACTCGCCAACGTCTGACGCCCATCTCATGCTAGTCTTAGATATTGGGGCCCGAAGGGCTGAAGCTACTGTTTTGGATGCTTGGAACGGTCTTTTTGAGGTTAAGTCAAGCCACGGTGACTGCCGGCTGGGCGGATGGGCGTACGATATCAAGTTACGCCGCTACCTCGAATATCACATGAGAGATAGAATTCCAGACAGAGACCTGCAATCACTTCTTGGCAGGTCCGAGGACATCAAAAGATCCCTATCGGTCTGTGAATCAGTATCTGATACGAGCGGTCTCGTCATTACGCGGAAGGAGTACGAGGATGTTTGTAAGGACAACTTTGCAGGGACAGTTGCCCTAGTGAAGAGGACTATCCACAATGCTGAGATTGAAAAGTCTGCCATCCGGGAGGTGGTCCTTGTTGGTGGTTCTGCCAGCACACCCATACTGCAAAAGGTTCTAGCAGACTTCTTCGGCTGTTCAAAAAAAGATTTATGCCGTCCGCAAGTGGCAGCTGCCCGCGGAGCGGCACTACAGGCAGCATCATTGACAGGCCGATCGCTGTTCTCCGAACTGCTTATCCTAGATGTGGTTCCTAGTTCGATACATATTGAGCTCCTGCCTGGGCTTCTACTGCAACTCTGGCCCCGAAATACTACACTGACTCGTGAATCGACGATTATTGTTGGGGTTTTGTCAATAGCGTATCTCCCCCAGTCCTTCAAACTTATAGAAGGGGATATTGGTTCAGTCAGGACTCTTGGAACTTTTGATCTCCGCTGCCTCCGGCTTCCTTCCGACTGCCAGGTTACGATCCAAATCAACATCTCAGTCGATCTGAATGGTATCGTGGATGCAGATATAGCTCTGCACCGCCCGGAAAGTAACATTACTATTCCATTACAAAGAAGCCCCCTGGTGGACGACCACCGAGATATGAATCATGATGAATTGATACCTTCAAGCGGGACACAGTCCACGGCTTTACTGGAGTCATATATCAGCTTTCTTCAACTGATTATTCCTACACTGTCGATTGAGCATCAAGGTACCTTAAAAACCGCAATTTCCCATATAGAATCCACAGTGTCACAACAATATTCAGCAACAGACCACGCACGCGCCTTGGCTTTGGAATATCTCATTCGGTAATACCCTTCAGTCCCTCAACCTACTGTCAGCCGTATTAACGCTTGAGTAGAACAGCTGACGGCTTGATTAACAGCCATACTGTCCCTCATTTCGATGCTACAGATTGATGGGAAGTAAAACAACAGTCTATCTTTCTCACGTATCATTTTTAGCTGCTGTTCCCTTCCCGCTATCGCACTTTGCTCGTGTGTCATTTAAGTACGCTTACTGGTCCTATGAAGCTCAATTTCAAGCTGTAGAAGTAACTGCATGAATAGCACCGTGCACAACCAATTTTCTGATTCCAGACTTCTTCAGACCCTTCCCTCAACTTCAATCTATAGGTGTAGATCATACAATGATTTAAATAAACAACGTCTCTTGGCAAATTCACAGCTTAAAGCAACAGTGAGCTTGAAGAAAGATTAATATACGAGACACTCTCGACGAGCCCATGGGGATGGTGGGTAATCTGAGGTTATCAGCAGAGTGGAAGATCCTTGCTTCCACAGCAAATGTGACTTGTGCCCTTAACTCTTGTCAACCGTGAATGATGGAACAGTCTCAACTTCTATATTGATATTGTGCATTCATAACGACTTCCATCTAACACCTAAAGTCTACGCTACTTGGTCTCATTATTAAGATTGTTTTTCGAAACCTAACCAAGGAATTTTAGTCTTATTACAAACACATTCTGCGCGTGTTGATTGATTGATAGATATTGAACCACATCCACAGTGACGATCTTACTTTCCCTATGGACCAAGCTTAAGGCAGAGTGGGTAAATTCAAAGACCCTCCAGGAATACAGCACGTTGGTCAACCAGCATCTCGCCCAACCTGAACCCTCATAACATTTCCCGTACCCTTCCCCAAGACCTTGCTATGGAGACGTTAATTATATTATCAACCCCCCAAAAGTGCATTCCATGTTCTGTTGTAGACAGATTGGCTTTCGAACCCTGACCCAGGCAGCTAATCCAGGGGCGGTTACCAACTCCAATTAGCTTATTCTACATAGAAGCCAATACGCAAGCGCTACAGATATTGATAAAAAGGTTAGACTTTCGGGCTTAGGGTTCGAAAAGCCGTCTCAAGTGGTACAATATAGTATTGCGGGCGGCCCTTTAATATTGCCTCTAATGTCGGCGGAATGCAATTCTCATATACCTTGCATTAGTAATCTGGCATGCACCAACCCAGGCTTCCATCACTTGCTAATTTCTCCATGTATCCCAAGCGTTTCCCCGCAGAGTTTACCACTACTGGAGTTGCTAGAACTGCAACAAACAGAGAAGCAGTGTATGCAAGGAGTGTTTAAAGTCGCATTTTGCGCGTTGCCTCCTGCACAGGGAATTCTTGGATATGATTAATAGCTTCGACTCGAAAATGCGTGATTTTACTGCACGCTGGTGATGAGTTTCCGTTATAGAGAAGCGATGGGAGAACGGACGTTTGGCTTATCCAGAAATAGCTAGCTTCTCTCCCGGCATATCAATATCATTATTTGGCAGAATGATACAGTAATAACTAGCCAATTACAGACTAGCATAGGTTTAGAACCAAACTGAAGAGCTATTTAAAGGTGATACTGCTATTGCAACCAAGTATATTCCAGCTTACTCAACTGCATCTGGGCAACGCAGTAAACCGGAAAGCTTCCACAGAACATTGCGATGGGCAAGTCAGCCATCGACCAATACCTGTGGAATAGTAGCAGATAAATACTGGCCCCTTTCATTTTCCCAGCAGCTGAGGGTCTTAGTTCCAGGACTCAGCCGGTTCTTCTGTGAGAGAAAATAGTCGGCCTAAATAGGTACTGTACAATACATCGCTACATCTCTCAGACTGTATCCAATTCTCATCGTCACTATGAACGAGGGCTCGTTCGCAAAGATCCAAGAGAACGCCTACCTCGGATCTGCTAGAATCTGCCTCGACAATCTCTATTTTGCTCCTCATGCTAGCAGAATCGATAACGAGAAATGCGAAGCCCGTCTCCTGAACCTATTCCGGGACTATTCCTGTGACAGAGATGCCTATGAGAACCGTATTCCTGTTGCAGTAAGCCAAGAGCTACTGCGGCAAGCTTTAGAGAAAGCGAATATGCCTATCTCCTCTATCCGTGAAGCTGTCCCTCCATTTCTTCCCCTTCCATCAACGATAGAATTATTGGCCTTACGCGGTAGGCATCGCTGGAAGGCTGCAAAAAGATTCTACAACGAACCAACAGATAGATGGTGGACAGTTGTCTTCTTTGATGCTAACGGTGCGCCTTGCCAAGTACGTACAGACAGAAAATACTAATATACAGACTAGCACTGCCTCCCGAGTGCCTCGTCTTCATTTCAGAAGCAGATGATAATTCGTCGCCGTTCTTTGACGGAGAAATTTATTACAAAATCCGATCAAGTCAATTGCAAAGTGACAAAACCCGTGCCCAAAAATGGATGAGCCGAATGGGCTCCCAGTGGAAGCAAATTGACTATGCCAGGCTTCATAAGTCAAAGGATTTTGAACCATTCTGTCATGCACTTGATTCTCTTCTATCATTTCCCGCTCTTTTGTTCTCGTTTCAATTAGGAAATATTCGGCGGTTCTTTCGTATGAAGTGTCCTGAAGAATTGGCCGCATATGTGAAGCATGTATACACTGTATGGACGAGGATAATGAACGGATTTGATGTCAATGTACTTACAACATCTGACATTGAACACCTACAGGGGCGCTCACCACGCTGGTCTTCAGCTGACAAGGATTTCATTGAGGATGCTTTTACCGCCGGCAGGCTTTTCACAAATATCCGTGATGAAGGACAACGTGCTGTTCTGAAGAGCCGGGTAATAACTACAGATGGTATAATTCCATCAATGAGGACTTTCCTGGAAAATACAAAATTCCTGGAGCCAGCTGCGATACTATTGAGAGCTTTGCTTCCTGGGAGGTTCCGTGGGACTGTTCGGAGCGAACTGAAAAAATGCTTCAGGGCCGGTCAAGAACAGACAGAAGAGCGATTTCAGCTATCGTATCAGCACCTATGGTTAACAGCCCTCCGCATATTTCCATACATTACCTCATTCAAGCCACTGCAGGATAGAAGGGGACATGGAGTCGAATTCAATGGCAACTACTGGGGCTTTTTTGCAAGATCGGCAGCCCGATGTGGATTCTCCTCGCGTCAAATAGACAGTCTCATACAGTTATATCCGCATTATGATGAGCTTGTGGAATCCAGTCAGTATCCTCTTTTCTTGATAAATGGTGACAGAGAGTGGAAGCTGAAGAGCAGATGCGGAATGCCAACGGAGGCTGTGTTTCAAAGCATAGCACCATATCTCACTCTGAAAAATATCCATGGCCGTTCACAATGCCCAGCTGGTGGCAGCGATGTCACACAATTTGCGGTGGCCAAGGACATGTTTCTATCCTTCTTTGGGGATCAGAAATTTGGTTCAAGTTTATCAAGTCCTCAGCTTTCGGAGAGAGACCAGGGTGGGCACGACGTCGAAATGTCCGCAGAGTCTGAAGCACCTGTGGCTTCCGAGACAATACGACCACCAGATCCGGGACCGTCACATCCATCCGATGATACGCAGGGCCTTGATGTGATAACAGTGTCTATGGGTCATGATACATTGCAACAACCAGATCCTAGGCCACAGTCTGATAGTGCACAGGACGTTGTTATGATAACAGAGCCTATGGATTTTGATAGTGATCCAGAGCTACCATTGAACCAGGCTCAGGGTATCGCTACGATAACGGAGCCCATGAATTCTACGCCCCCGTTAACTTCGGAAGAGACAGAGACCAACGAAAGACAGCTGGCTGTCATACCTCGCCAGTCAGTTTACATATCTGATGATCTCCCAACCACCCCCTTCCCGCCCACTGGCTCGAATTTGATGCAGCATTCACTTGCCGTTACCGTGGATCTGTCCAACGAGATTGTTGGACACAAACCGGATACTGAGCATACAAAGTCCGATGATAGGCAACTGGCCTTGTCTTTGGATCCTGGCCGGTTACTTTCAGTTCCGCCTGATCAACCAACCCCTTTTCCCCCAGTGATCGGATCCCAAGCCAGTAGACAGCAAACATTATCAATAACCCAATCCCAGCCTGCAGAAGTTTCTCTATGGGATAAAATCGTGCCTAAGGACGAGCAGAAAAAGACCGTTGATGAGGTTGAACAATACGTAACTAATCAAGGATATAAGCATACTCTTTATGTCTACGGAACTTCACAGCTTTGGGTGCCGGCATCTGACGAGATCCCCCTCGTCCAGCACTTTATTGAGAGTCATGAAGGATGGTGCTATCTGGTTGTCCATCACAATGATGCATGCCAAATTGGATATGATCAAGTTCAGCAAGAGCTTTTGAATGGACGTCTGATCGTCTGCGTAGAACAAGATCAGCTGTTCCAAGCTAAACTAGATGTGGAAAATGTGCAACTATAAGCCTTATTCTAATTACTATTCGACACTACTTCTGACAGTCTACACTGGCTGTGAATATTTAACTGAGCAATATCAGTAGTCTGTTATCGTAGTGCTACTAGCCTATGCCAGAAGATACAATTAAATTCAGGATTACTAGCCTAGGCTATGACATAGAATAAGCTATCTGAAAGCTTAAATATCATTGGGGCTACTATCCAGTCTGGCCTATTTAGTAGCTGGCTATAAGCTTAGGCTATACTGTAATATATTCAATTACTTTCCAGCACAGGCTATGGAGTAGTCTAAGCTAACTATAAGCCTAAGCAATCAGATAGAACAAGCTATCTGAAAGCCTAAGTATTACTAGACATATCCTGTACCTAGACTATTGACGAGCCTGGGCTAATAAAAGGCGTATATTCATCCATCAATATTTTCTAGCACAGGCTATGGAGTAGTCTAAGCTACATAAAAGTCTATGCTATTAGAATGAACAAGCTATCTGAAAGCCTAAGTATTACTGGATGTATCCTATATCTAGGCTATTAGCGAGCCTGGGCTAATGAAGAGCGTATATTCATCCATCAATACGTTCTAGCATAGGCTGTTGAGTAGCTGGTTATAAGCTTAGGCTATA